ACCCATTTACAACCCACGGGTTCCTTCCCTTCAGGCAAGTCAACAATATCCCAGGTATGGTTCTTATGCAAAGCATCCAATTCAGCCATCATAGCATCCCTCCATTCAGGTTTAGATAAGGCTTCCGGTACGGACCTGGGTATCACATGGGAAGAAACAGAAGCAAGAAAAGAGTAGTAGGAAGGAGAGAGAGGCTGTAAGACAGGTGTTTGGAGATACAATGGGTTGTACACTTCCGGTTGCCCTTGCGGAGAGCAATAGGAAGGTCAAGGTCTGGGAAAGATGTAGATGGGTCAGAGGAAGGCTGACCTGTTACCTCAGTAATGATGGGAGGAGTAAGAGGCTCTTCTGTAGGAGTTGAAACAACTTGCCCATGTCTGAATCTGTGCCTTTGGTACCACCTTTGGAGAATAGGATGAGGAGGAATTATAGGAGAATGAAATGGAGGAGGAGGAACAGGAATATTGGAGGTAGGTCCAGTGAGAGAAGTACCTCATGAGAGGAATGGGAAGAGGAACAACTGGAGACATAGCGAAGGGTTCTTCAGATTTCTCCCCCTCAGGAGAAATACTAAAGAAAGGAGTCAACTCAGCATATGTGACATCCCAAGATACAAAGCGGGTTCCACTAGCTGGATCAAAACAACAATATCCCTTCTGTGTGGAGGCATATCCCCGAAAAACACATTTATGAGCCTTAAGTTCAAATTTGTGCCTTTGATGGCTGTGAACATGCACATAGCAAGTGCACCCAAAAACCCGGAGAGGAAGAGAAAAAAAGATCCTCATCCAGGAAGAGAAGGCTAAAGGGGGTTTTGAAGTTAAGAACCCGAGAGGGCATACGGTTGATCAAAAAGGTAGTAGTAAGAACAACATCTCCCCAAAATTTTATAGGAACATGGGATGCAAACAGGAGGGATCTGGCAACTTCAACCACATTTCGGTTCTTCCTTTCCGTCACTCCGTTCTATTGTGGAATGTAGGAACAAGAACTTTGATGAATAACCCCAAAAATTTCAAGATAGGCGGAGAGGGTTTTATCAAAATACTCCTTAGCATTATCAGAACGGAATATTTTGATCTGAGTGTTAAACTGGGTGAGGATGAGTTCATGAAATTTTTGCACCATAGCTGGTACTTCATCCCTGGATTTCATGAGATAAATCCAAGTGTAATGAGAGTAGTCATCAATAAAAAGGATAAAGTACCTGTAACCCCCCATAGTTGGCAAATGATATGACCCTCACACATCAGAGTGAACAATATGAAAAGGAGAAAGTGATCTTTTATTGCTTACTGAATAAGAATGTCTACAATGCTTTGCCAGTTCACACRACTCACAATGAAGACTCGATAAAGACACTCCCTTAAACATATCTGGAAACAAATGACTCAAAGCAGAAAAAGACAGATGACCAAACCGAAAGTGACATAACAAGACTTTGTTAATAAACTTTGACAAGACTGGCTCTAAGGCAACTCCATGAGGTGGTCCAAAAGCTCTATCCGGTGTGTTCAACAAGTATATTCCGTTCGCCTCATGGCCACTCCCAATCATCCTCTGAGATTGCAGGTCCTGAAAAACACAATGAGTGGGAAAAAAGGTTATGCTATAATTCATGGATTTAGTTAAGCTGCTAACAGATAAAATGTTTGTATTAAGTTTAGGGACATGAAAGACAGAGGATAAATAAAGGGTGTCAGAGGTCTTTATATCCCCTTTACCAGAAATGGGAGCAAGAGACCCATCAACAAGGGATATTTTCTCTTTACCARAGAGAAKGTGGTATGAGCARAAGAGATTAGACAGGCTGGTCATATGGTCTGATGCATCGGAATCAATAATCCAAGGGATTTTATGATTACTTGAAAATGAAGCATGATTGGCAGAAGCACAAATACTTGAGTGAGCAAATGCAGATGATGATGATGTGTTGCTGGAAGAGTGAGATGAAGAAACAGTAGCTTCCAAGTGATTTAGCAGCCTTCCATACTTTTCAAAATCCGCCTTCATTGCTGCCAATTGCTCAATAGTTGATTTTTCTTCACTCTCCTTATTTCCTCCTTCACATACTGTATCAACATTAGCTATCTTAGGCTTTCCTACCTGACTGCCCTTCTTAGAACTGTTGTTATTCTTAAACCTATCAGGAAGAAGCTCTGGATGAAGCTTCCAACAAGTGTCCTTTGTATGCCTCGGTTTCTTGCAATATTCACATATCTGCTCCTATTTCTCTCCACCAACTTCCTATACATTTCAGCATCATTCTTACTCTCCCATACAACTTTCTCCATAACATCAATTTCTTGCCATAGGGATTTCAGTATAGAATAGTAGATTGCTACACTCTTCTCTCTCTGTCTTAGGTTCTTCACGTCACTTTTCAACTTGTAGACTCTGGCTACATTCAACTTCTGTGAATAGGTCTCAGTAATACCGTCCTATATCTCCTTAGCCGAAGACATCCAAAGATAATGCTGACTTATATGAGGTTGCATAAAGTTAACCAACCATCCAATGACCGTATAGTTCTTCTGCATCCATTCTCAAATTCAGGGTCTGTCTCTTCGGGTTTCACTTTACTACTTGTGAGATACCCAAGTTTTCCTCTACTACAGACATAAATTCTTATAGACTATGCCCAAGCAAGATAATTTGTCCCATCTAGCTTGATTGTGGTCACACCAGTCAAAACGGAATCTACCGAGCCAAGGCYGGAWAYYGGCACWTGCTTGAACTCACTTCCGTATGGCTCCATTAATCAAACGAAAATCAAAGAACCAGAAATTTTACTATATGAACTTACTTGAAGTCAAACCAGAACCCAGATGCTTG